ACTGAACAGGTAACCTGATTTATTCTATTTATTGCTCTTCTTTACCTTTTATAATTTGTATGTATAAGGCGATTTATAGGGTATTTCACGTCTAACATTATATAAACCTGTATTCAAATTATGATAGCGCCGTAAATAACATCACTGGTATTAATATTATTATTTATCTATTTGTTTATATAAATCTAGATATCTGCTGTAGTAAGAATTAAATTTTATTTATTTCAGAACATAAATATATTTGTATATGTTTGTATATGAATATATTTACATTGTAGTAAAAAGTTAATTAATTAATTTTTTAAAGGTAACACGTAACCCATATGAGCTTTGCTGCACCCTTTTCTCTTATTTTACCTAAATTCTTACGCGCCAGTGACTGATATTGAATATATAGTATGTTTTCATGCTATTCTAAGCATGACGCTGAGATGGCTGCAATGTTGATTGAATTAGCCCTGAATTACGACGATATCGTTTCTTGAAAATGTATTTGAACAGATAAGACCTCATGTCTTCTCCTTCATCTATGGTCTCTGGCAACGCAATACGCCAAGGGTACCAAATAAAGATTTCTGTGTAAAAGTAATTACTAACAAGAAATATTTCCTATGAAAAATGCCGCAACATCTTTTACTTATGACTGGTTTGTATTTCCAAACTTAATACATTTATGTATACTTGAGAATGACCTATATCATCTTCAATACATTTCTTTTTATGATATGACACATAAACATAAAAATAATAGCCAACAGGTAGAATTGGTTTATGACTGGTGTAACAATAGCTATTGCGGTCACAGGATAAAAAATTAAAAAAAAATTACTTAACAGTACTCCACATTAGAAATGTAGGAAGTACAAATATGATTTGATGTAGGCCTGGGCCTACTATATAGACTTTCTTTAACTTGTTTTCTTACCATTATTGTTGTTGTTGTTGTTGTTGTTGTTGTTATTATTATTATTATTATTATTAATATTATTATTATTATTATTAATGATAATATTATTGTTATTATTTTTAAATATTTTATATTATTATTTGTATTCAATTTTTAAAAATATATTTTATTATTTTTATTATTCTGCTGGCTGTGTTGGACGATTTATAAATAAATTCCATCATACCGATTTTTATGCTTCAGCTTAAGACTGGCTGCCCCCACCCCACTAGCTATAGGCCTACTGCTCTCACTTTCTGTGTGGCTATTTTTGTCGGATTGTCAATAATGGATGCATACGACGAAGTGCGTACAGCACCTTTCGAGACAATATGCGACTAATTCTAGGCTGGCCCCTACTACTTGGCTATTAGTAGCTACCCAGAAAGGCCTAGCCTAAGTTGTCTCGTCGCAGTTTATTTGGTTATTTTTTTTATCGGATTGTCAATGCATAAGTACGTACGACAAGAGCCAAATAAACTGTTGTTTTCGATAATTTACTTAAAATTCTCCCTGGATGCACTGTAAGTAGGCCTTCAATAGCCAAAGCTTCGTCCGGCATTCTCATTATTTTCAATCTTCATAGCCATGCATGATTGCATTAGCTTGAGTTGCACATGCTTTATTGTTGCATAAAAAAGTTCGATTTTCCAATTTCTATTTCATACCCTCTTCGCGGACTCTTTTTGGTTCCTGAGACGTCTTTTTAGTAACTGCGCATGCTCGACATGTCTCGACAACGTCACTTACTTAGTGCACATGCTCACTGGCTGTCTAGCATTTCCAAGCGCATGCTCACTGTGTTTTTATACTTATTTCAGGCAGTGGCGTAACGATAGGGCCGGGGGCCCTGTGTATTTCTGAAACTGGGGGCCCTTTTTGGGACGTCGCAGTCACCAATTCCATCTTGGAATTTTAAGTGTGCATTGTTATTCTAAATTTTTTAATGACGAATAAATAATATAATATGTGTAATATCTATTATAAAGATTATCGGTCCAGCGCCCTCTCTAGTTGCTAGGGGCTACCATCTGTAAGAGGGCGCTTACATGAAGCGGTAACGGACTCAAACAGCTCCGTCAGAGATTTTAAAAAAAACTGCGATTTTTCCCCTCGTAATGACTGATAGTTCAAACTGACTCAAGGAATAACTACAATTAATACTTTAAAAGGCTCATCAAGCTTTAAAATTGACAGAAAATCGAAAATGGGTAAGAAAAAACCTGTAACTACTGTATCACCACCAACATCCCCGGAAAACAAACCGGAAACTGCCGCACCCGACGATCCCATGACCACTATGACCGAGTTGAAGCGGGAATTTCAGTCGATGCAGAAACGGGACGGTGAACTACACGTTAAGATCGATCAAATAATCCTAAACCAAA